CTGCTATATGGTTAAAGATGGGACACTCAGCATCGTCGAACAGGTAAAACTTAAGATCCAAACTCTAAATTATAGCATGCATGATTGTTAGCCCTTCATAAACAACCTTAATGACACATGTGTTGCCGTCCTTACAGAATATAACGAAGCATTAGATGAGAAGAACATTGCAACCCAGGAGATGTTTCACGTAAGAGGACCACTTGACAACAAAAGACTCAAAATGGCTATGTTAGAAAAGGACTTAGGTTTAGAGAAAGATGCAAGAATGTTGAGTGAAACACAGTTAGAAATAGCTTTGAATCAGAGAGATTTAGCTTAGAGTGAGATTGTACACTTAAATCTTTTAATAGAAAATTTGTTTAATGAAAGTGACGCCATCGAAAATCTTGTTAACAATGGGACTACTGATAATACTTACAATTGGAGTTGGTCCAATCGGTACTCTACCACAACAGACTCGTCACCCCGATATGGACCATCCCTACATCCCTCGTGATCGTGAGTTTATGTTTCCGGTCAATAACAAAACATTTCCTGAAGATATCAAAGTTCACTTTGGTAGACTTCATGATCTGAGTAACAATTGTGTTATCGAAGAAATTCTTCCTGAATTCTCTAATCCTATAGATAGCACAATTATTCCCAGTTCTCAGACTTCATCTATCGCTGATGAGGAAATTGTCTTGGAAGGTTCCGAAGTCTCAATATACTTCCCATCTATGTCGCCAGACCGCAGTCTCCCTTACTGCAGTCATGAACAATAGTCTGCCCATCTATCTTACGTCAATTGTCATACCAATGTACCCTCTTAGTAATATTTTACGGTTGTTCAAGTCCCCAAGAAACAGACCATTCAAGAATACTTTGACCATTCAATCAATTCATCAGGAATTACCAATCGAAAATTTTGAAGTTGGTCAATGTTCCCTGAATCCTTAACTACCTAGTTCGGATGAATCAAGTCCTCGTTTCTCAAAATTACCAACTGTCTCAAGGAAACCGCAACTTAATGTCACCGACTGTGGTTCTCCTAAAACCGAGGCCAGAAAGGCTTTCAAGGAAGAGATTCAATCTCGTAGGAAAAAGCGGGAAAATCTTTCAAAGCAAAAGCAATTTGTCAAAATTCCTAAGTCTAGAAGTCCAGAAAAACTTGTTTTCTCAAATTATCTGTCTACAAACTCTGCAGTCAAGAAAATGAAGAAAAAGGAATGTACAGTTTCTAAATCCATTCCAAATCCATCTGACACAACAAAAAAGAAAGTTAAGTCTTTTCGAAGTAATGGTTTTCAAATATATTCATTAGATTATCCAAAATGGAAGGGTATTTTGCCAACTCCAACACTCTTAAAGTCACATCAAAGTTTTAAGAAACCACTTCACAAAAGGTCTATGCGTGCTCTTACATCTGCAAAAGCCACTTTTTCAAATCATACTGTCAGACCTCACAACCCTCGGACTGGACACAAGCAGATTACCTTACAAAGACCACTGACTAAACAAGAGGTCAAACCAAATGACCAAAGTCTAGTTTGCAAATGTCAATCTCAAAAGTTTTCTTCTCATGTCAAATCACGCTCTTTTCAAAAATCTCGTATCTTTTTGCAAACACACAAAAATCCAAAAAATCTCAAACACCCAGGACTAGGTCTAAAAGTTGACACAAAACCTATCCCTGTAACCTGGTATCATGCATCAATTAAGAATTATTATGCTACCCCAGGCTCCAAACTCGTTTGGGTGCCTAAAATAACTGTATAATTCTCAGGCTTTGTGCAAGGAGGACCAAGAAGAAGAATGGTTGATCGATAGTTCCTGCTCCTTGAACATGACCCGAAGGTTAGAATACATTCGGGATTTCAGGCCAATTTGTAACGGGGGTAACATTACATTTGGCAACAACGCGAATGGGATCATCCGAGGTTACAATGTTCTTACTACTGGAAACTTTTCTATTCAAAAAGTAGCCTATGTAGAAGGTCTCAAACACAATCTTATTAGTGTTGGCCAACTATGTAAGGCAGGCCATCAGGTTGAATTTGATAACCAATTATGCTACATAATGACAAGTGATAGAAGCACTTGCATGATCAAGTCCAGATCCGAAGGTACTATGTACCCTTTGGATGTTTCTATGATCATTGCAAACCGCAACTCTGCTTCCTAGCAAAAGCCATATACGAAGTTAGTTGGCTCTGGCATCACAAGCTTTCTCATCTCAACTTCCGGTATATCAACAACCTGGAGGGGGAACTTGTCAGAGGTCTCCTTATTCTTAAGTATCACAATGACACTCTCTGCCCATCTTGTGAATGTGGCAAACAGTCCAAAGCAAGTCATCCTATGGTTATCGATTCCTCAATATCATAAACACTAGAACTTCTTCATATTGATCTCTGCGGTCCATCCACCGTAGCCAGTCTTCACCATAAGAAATTCATCCTGGTTATAGTAGATGACTTCACTCGTTTCACATGGGTTTTCTTTCTTAGACTCATGTCAGAAATGCCACAAGTACTCATTATTTTTATCAAGGAGATAGAACTTCAAATCAAACTACCGGTGCGTCGCATCCGCAGTGACAACGAAACTGAGTTCACTAATCATCATCTGAATAGTTTCTTGGTTTCCAAGGGCATAAGTCACAATTTCTCAACTTCATACACCCCACAGCAGAATAGAGTAGTAGAGTGTAGGAATCGCACTCTGGTAGAAGCAGCCAGATCTATGCCCAGTTTTGCCAACCTTTCTCTCTACTTCGGGGCCGAAGCAGTGGCCACAACCTGATTTGTGCAGAACCGAAGCATCGTATGCAAACGCCCCATCAAAAACACCATATGAGAGCCTCAACAACAGAAAGCCTAATGTTTGATTTTCCATATATTTGGGTGCAGATGTTTTGTGATTAACAACAAGGATCATCTCAACAAGTTTGCACCAAAATCTGATGAATGCATCTTTCTTGGCTACTTAATAAACAAAGTAGCCTATAGGGTTCTCATAAGACGTAAGAGAGTAATAATCGAAAGCTTTGATGTAAAGTTTGATGATTATTATGTCCGCAACACTGCTCCTTCCACTGAAACCAAAGCAATCCTGGAATGTGATGTTCCTTACTCTTCGGGTCCATTGAACATAGTTGATGTTAACTATGACGATCTCTTTGATCCCATCAAAACTGCTAAGCTATCTGAAGTTCTCATGTCTTCTGAAGCTCAAATGCAGCATAGTGAAGTATCTGGTGCTACACCATCTGATGAGGTCTCACTTAATACTTCCACCTTTCCGGTTGAGGGGGAAAACTCAACCCCGGATCGTTTTACAACCATCGAGGTTCCAGTATCTGATCACTATCACTATGCAGCATTTATGTCATCGGTTGAGCCTCGAACGATCAAAGAAGCATTACTAGAACTAGACTGGATATCCGCAATGCAAGAAGAACTAGAAGAATTCAAAAGAAACAAAGTGTGGCAAATCGTTCCAAAGCCGCAAGGTCACGCTTTTATTGGTACCAGATGGGTGTACAAAAATAAGTTGGATGAATCCGGTGCGGTCGTCAAAAACAAAGCAAGGCTCGTTGCCAAGAGATATAGTCAACTTGAAGGTATTGACTATGATGAAATGTATGCTCTGGTGGCACGAATAGAAGCCATCCAAATTTTCTTAGCATACACAGCTCACAAGAACATCAAAGTACATCAAATGGATGTGAAAAGTGATTTTCTCAATGGTGAATTAAAAGAGGAGGTTTACATTCAACAAACTCCGGGCTTCTAAAGTATTGATTTCCCAGACTACTGCTACAAGCTTGAAAAAGTTATATATGGTCTAAAGCAAGATCCAAGAGCATAGTACGAGACACTTTCTAAATTTCTTGTCTCGTCCAGATACAAAAGAGGAGTGATTGATCCCACTTTATTTAGAAAGGCTAATGGTAATCACATTATGCTTGTAAAAATATATGTGGATGATATGATCTTCGGATCAACTGATCAGGGATTGGTGGATAAATTTGCTAAGCTCATGATCAACAAGTTCAAAATGAGCATGAATAGAGATATTAACTTCTTTCTAGGGCTTTAAATAAAGCAAATTCCTCAAGGGATATTCATTCATTAGGAGAAATACACCACGAAACTACTGAAGAAATACTCATTGGACAATTTCTCTTTGGCGAAGGTCCCCATGGCCTCCGGATATAAGATATCCACTGATCCTTCCGGTAAATCAGTGGATCACTAGGCTTATAGAGGAATAATTGGTTCATTGATGTACCTCACCGCAAGCAGACCAGACATTGTCTTTGCCACAGGTGTATGCGTAACATACCAGGCTAATCCAAAAATGTCACACATGACCATAGCAAAGCAGATTCTACGATAGTTAAAGGGTAGTATGACCCTTGGTGTATGCACTACTAGAAAAACAGCCTTTTACGACGCTCATTGCGCGTCATAAAAGGCTCAGACGACGCGCAAATGCGCGTCAAGGAAGGCCCTGTCATAAAGAGAGACGATGCGCTTTTGCGCGTCGTCTATAGACGACGCGCATTTACGACACTCATTTACGACGCACAATTACGACGCGCGTTTACGACACCCAATGCGTATCAAGGAAGGCCCTATGATAAAGGAAGAAGACACACATTGGCGTGTCGTAACCTTACGACGCGCGTGTTAATGACACGCAATGCGTATCAAGAAAGCCCCTGTCAAGAAAGGCCATGTCATAAATGAAGATGACACACATTTTTGCGTATCATAATTTTAAATGTTTAAAAAAAGTATTATTTGTAGATTTACTAATTTTTAAATTAAATAATACATTAAAATTCTCACAATACAAAATAAAATACCATAAATAACAAAGATAATTCATTTCACTAATATGTCATACAAATAATTATTCCAAAAGTGAGTAAATGTTATAAAAAAATGAACTCATTTATATACAATTGCATCATCTAGCTTACTATGTGCCAACAACTCTCTATGTGTTTAGTTTTGCTTGAGTCTCGTTTCTTCCAAAGCTTCCAAATCATCTGGAGTTAGATGGATATCAGATATGGATAGTCCTTTACTAGAAATAGGCTTCACAAAGTCGCTAAGACTGTGCCTGCAAATTGCAAATCAGACATCCATCAGGTTCATATTAACTGTCTATCTATGTAAAAGTCTTATAAATGAAATAATGTGCTCTCAGCCTAAAAGATTAGAATGTCCAATGAAGTACTTATCTACCTACTTGATGGGCTATGCTGAAAGTCTACTTTCGACTGTAGAAGTATCAATAAGTGATTGTATCACAAACATATAAACTTCTTAAGCCTGCCTGCTACTGCTAACAAAATAACTGTTTAGGGTTTAAGATTTTATTGTTTATAATTATACATGCGCAAGATAAGACCTATTACCATTGTTTCTCCACTTCGTGACTGATCTACAACCTAAATGTCATGTGTTGTTATTGTAGAGATGTAACTTCTAACTTTTTTTTCTTTAAGGGAAGAGGAAATGGAAAATGACAGACATACAGGGAAGCCATTGTGACTCTTAGTCCTCATAATAGCGGCTACATCAGCAAATTTCACCACACGAGTGAAGTGACAAAGTTACAAACCTGTCAACTTTCACCAACAGCCTAAGGAAGGTAAATGGTCAAAACTCAAAACTCAAAACTAAAACTTGTTGTACTCATCAATTTAATTCTAATTGTAACTTGTAAGAAAAATAAAAGAAAAAACTTACTTTTGATATGAGGAGAACAAGCATGATAAGAGGTAAGAGATTTAAATTATTTGTAATTTCAACCATAATAACACAAAGTGAGACTGCCATTCTCATTGAACCTCCTAGAAACGAGGCAGCTCCAAGCAAAGCATATCTGTCAGGTGTCAATTATAAATTATCAACTGGAAATATATATATATATATATATATATATATATATATATAAAGAAAAGATAAAAGATGAGTGTGAAGTGAACTCACATTCCTTTTTCAATGTTGAGCTTTTCATAGAGTCTAACAACAAACCTGCCAACAAGGTGTCCATATGTAGATCCAATCATTATACCTGGAACAAATTGGCCAGCTGGAACAGCAGTACCAAATGTCACCACAGCTAAACCATAGAACATAACCTGAGGAGGAGCAACACACATGCAAAACAATAACATATTTAACACTCTCATCTTTTAATTTAGTTAGCATTGTATTTGTATATCATCAATCTTAGATTTGTAATTTCTTTGTTTGGTTACTTTTTCTCTTTTACTTAAAATTCAATACTTTTCATTCAAACTTATTTTTTAAATGTTAAAACTACAAAACAAATAGAAACTGTCTTTCACAATACCAAATACAACAAGAGCATAGAAGGGACATCCTTCATACAAGTTGACAGTGTGGCAACCATTCACGAATAGTAGGGTAGCAGTTCCAGAGATGTTCTGGGCACGTTGAACAACGTGCGTACGAGTTTTTTGCGGGAAGCTTTTGAGTTTAAATAACAAAATTCCACCTGATTTTTTTAAAAAGTAATTATAATTAAAAAAACAGTTAAAAGAATGGAAGTAGAGAGAGTCTGTAAGGAAAATTTATGTTATGGAGGGAAGAGGACTTACAGTCAATTGGTCAATTAAGTCACGGATCACACAGCCACGAAGCCTCTGTATTAAGCCATCGAAGTTGGTTCCTTCAGGACCACAAAGCTTCTCTTTTTCAATTTCAGTTTTTATTTCACCATCTTTTTCTTTTTCTTTTTCTTTTCCTTTATCTTTTTTGTCATCATCTTTCTTTTTCTCACTTACAGATGTCTCTGCAGTATCTTGGGCAGCAATCTGACCTTGATCAGACTCAGGTGTTGTTGAGTCCTGCATAATATATTTATTTCATGTCAATTAAAAACTTTGTTACTATTTTTTTGTTAAAAGAACTTACACTTGGTTGATCTGATGCTTTTGATCACTGATCATTCCCTTTTTGCTCTGCTTCTCCCAATAACACAGCAGGAACAAATGCCCTAGAAACAAAAAAAAATGTTTTTTTTCTCATTATTACAATTTGTGGTTTTGAAATGTATTATAGTAAACACTTGCATACCTGAGATCAGGTAAACATTCATAAAAACTTTTTTGTATCTTCATCATCCCACAAAGCTTGAGCAACAGAAGCCTCTTTTCCAGTACCAGGAGATGAGACATCATCACCTGTTGTGAGCCTCGTGTGACCATCCTCTGGCATCATAGGTGGTTACATATCAAGTGCTTCTGCTAACCTAATCTCACCAAAAATTTGAACAAAATTAAATATATATCTGTAAAAAAAAGATATATAAATAGTAAATATTTTATTTTTTTACGTACAGAGAAACACCTCGATAAAGTTGGTCATAATGGATATCATCAACTATAGCATCTTATGCAAAAACTTATCCACAAGTTAAATGCATGAAATAGCAACACTGCATTTTTAATTCATTTAATTGTGTATTATAACAAAACATCATACTTTCAATTATTTTCTTATCAAGGCAATGTGATTGAAAAATACATGTAATCATAGCATTGTTTTTTTTATTAGGGCATCATATATTGAAGTCCTCAACCACACATAGGGACTTTCATTTATTTTTCCTTCTTGGGTAACACAAAAAGTTACAATTTTTTTTCCCTAATACATGATGCGTCTTCAGTCTTCACACATACCAAAGTGATAGAGATTTTAGTTAGAATAGAATCTCGCAGTTGTATATGCAATAAGGTAATGAAATGCAGTCCAGGCAGGCATCATAGGGACATTACACTAGTTGAATGGAGCTCCACAGAACCTGAATCATTATTGGCCTGCTGCATATAAAAAGTTGTAATTTCTCATAAAAAAACTCAATGGCATAATAAATATATTACATATACAAAAGTTAGATTGAGATACCTCAAATATCAAGTCCTTTCTGGTGATCATGCTAATCACATGAGAAGTACGTGGATTGTAAGGATTTTGTAAACCAATAGCAGGAGGTGGGGAGGTGCTGATCGGGTGGTTCTTCAGTACGTGGGTTATAAGAGAACCCAATTCACAGGTTGTCAAGTCGAAAACTGCTACTGGTAGTGGTTCTTCAGTATCTAGACCACTTGGATTACAGACCATGGAACTTTCAAGATTCAGCTGAAGCTGCAGATGTGATACCCAAAGAACTTGTGTTCTAAAATAACACATATTAAGAAAAAATCAGAATTTCTAAATATATAATATAGAAATATAATACACACAACAATGTATAACCTGATTAGATTCTCATTTAGCCTTTGGACTAGAGACTTGAGCATTAGCATTGGCCACCTCATTAGCAAACATGTCCTCTTAAATATTCTTCATATTGATAATCATAGTTTTTTTAGTTAATCCAGAGCTTTTTTAGAAAATCGATTCCATGGTGGAATTAGAGACATTTCCTTGTCCATCTCCTTCAATGCCTAGAGTGACCATACCCCAGCTTCAATAACATGACAAATAGAGTTCCTGCTTTGGTTGTCAAACCTACAGCAACAACAAAGAAAGATGTCAAACTTAATAACTAAGGGTATCCTTAATTAAAACAAAATACATTTCACCATCTTTGATGAGATTGTTAACAAGTTGAATAGCTGCTAACCAGCCATCACAAATAAACATTGATTTAGTAGTAAAACTGAACCTAAATTCCAAGTCTTGTAGTTCAATTATCTTGTTCTCGAGTCCTTTTGGTGCATATCGACATGAAAGGTAGCCAAAATTAGTCTCATCTGAGTGAAAAGCTAACATAGACATTATGTCAAACACCTTGTGGGCATGCATCAATAACTGACCTAACAGAGACTGATTCGTGTTCATGGCGATACCCTCCAAATCAGCTTTAAGAGTAGACAAATTAAGTGTGTGATATATCACCAATAGTTCTGATATTACATAAGAAAATGATAAAGTAAGAGAAAGAAACCTAGAGTACATACATGGAGAAGAAGAGAATGATATTCAAACCTGGGGCCTCTTCCATTTTTGCTTCCTAATTTCCGATGCTTCCAATCTGACCATGAACCTCCGACTTCTAATCCCAAATCTAAACTTCAACTTTCGATTTATGATCTTCAACCTCTAACTTAATCATATAATCTAATGCCATCATGAAGCCTGATTCCATCTGATCAACTTGTTTTCCAATCACGCTTTGTGCAGCCAACATCACCCTAACTCCTCAGATTCTTCATCCATTTGGTCATCTTCCAACTGTTGTATAAATAGACATTGGGTTGAATTTCAATTAGGATGGTTATGAAATGCAATGGTCTCCAAATCAATTCTACGAAGTCAAATGCTTGACGATTTGGGTAAAATCGAAACATAAGTATATTTTTTTCATGTGCCCACCAAATGACTGATGAAATGCCACAACGAGAGAAATTCAATAAAGTAAGGAATTTGAAGTTGGAGTTAAAGCATGTCTTAGAAGGTTAGCCATCTCTTCAAGAACAGACATAACTTGTTCACCTCCTTTAAGGAGAGCTTCATACTGAGCAGGAGTCCAAGTACTCCAAGTACACGTTTTTAGCTTAAGACCTGATGCAACAAAACGGATTACACGGTTTATCGGATTACACTAGATGCAGCAAAATGGAGTAACATATAGAACTATGTTTCGTGGATCTGGGATTCAAAAACACAAACCCAATGTTTCGTTCTTTAATCTTGTGGTATAATGGGGCTTTATTGGTGGTGGTGGTGAACCAGAGAGAAGACGAAGGGTGGTGGGTGCCTAGGTTGTTGTCGAACAGTAGGGGGTAGAGAGAGAGAGAGAGACTTGTAGTTGGTCGTGTATTACCTGCATCAAATTGAAATTAAGGGAATGTTGATTTTATAAGATGACTTTGAATCGACCTAGGTTTTCCCTGACTTGTGTTCGAAAAACCATTTGTTGTGGTTAATGGAAGAGAGAGAGAGAGAGAGAGAGAGAGAGAGAGAGAGCGAGATAGAGAGAGTGAGATTTGTTGCAGATATGGCGAAGGCGGTGAACGAGATGTTTGATGATACTGATAAGAAGGAGATCACGTAGATGTTTGATGATACTGATAAGAAGGAGATCAAGTAGATGTTTGATGATACTGAAGATGAAGATGAAGGACCTAGGGATTTTTCTTGCTAAGTATAAGAGGCGGGGGATTAATTTTTGGGATTCAATAGGCGGGGGTAATTTTCGTCGATTTTATTTCCCGCCTAAAACATGTGTTTCACTTAAAAATTATAAAGCGACACATTTACATGACGCACACTTTATGAAAGGCGCCTTCCGCATTTTTTTTCTTTTCTGACACTAATTTTAGGGCGCCCACAAATGCGTGCCCTCTATTCTTCAAATTTTGCAAAACCGACATTATCTTTTAGGGCACTTACAAATGCACGTCGTCTATCAGCGAGTGTCATTGTTTGTGCGTCATTAAAGGGCTATTTTCTTGTAGTGATGGTATCCTGCAAGAAATGACTTCAACCTACAAGTATTCACTGATGTGGATCATGATAGATGCAGACTAGATCAAAAAAGCACTTCAGGTGGATGTCTATTTCTGGGTGGAAGACTCGTCAGTTGGTCATCAAGAAAACAAAGTTGTGTATCACTGTCTACCGCAGAAGCTGAATATGTGGCCGCAACCAGCTGTTGTTCACAAGTCTTATGGATGAAAACACAACTTATGGACTACGGATATAGAATGTTGTGGATACCAGTTTATTATGACTCGGAAAGTACTATAGTGATTTCTCACAATCCCATTCATCACTCCAAGACAAAGCATATTGAACTATGGTATCACTTCATCAAAGACCACATCCTGAAAGGTAACATTAAACTAATTTTTGTTCACAATCATGAAGAGATTGATGATGTATGCACAATGGCACTTGACTCTACAAAACTTAACAATTTCTTACAAATGTTAGGAATGATGAATCCGGACACACAATTCTTTTTGAATTGATAGGTACCACAAACCACTCTCGGTCCTTGATTGCGGTCCTAATGAAATTTATTTATGATAGATAATTTTGGTGTATCCTAGATACTGCAATATATTCTATGTACCACAGTATCCTTCTTACACCACAAATATATATCATATCTATCTTTCAATGGTCCTTATTGATTGTTATTACTAATTTTTGTTCAAGTGTTTTCATCAGCTCTTCTACTGCCGTCATCGAACCATCCATCCATAATGATAAAAGATTCATCCGCAATGAAGTTTCAATTTCTCATGTACTTCATAAATTCTTGAAACATTGTGTGCTATTTAATGATCCTTTATTAAATAAGAAAAACATTCTTGGTGCAGCACATAATCGTTTCAGTTCTACTTTTCAAATAAACTTTGTATCAGACCTATTTAAGGCATGATGACAAAAGGAACAGTTTTCCAAAAATATTTCTTTTTAAGAAATCCTTTTCCTCTAAACCGTCGCTTCATATTACCCCAAAACGTCAAATCTGTTACATAGTCCTCCTTTATACAATGGATTAACCCCCTCACCACATGTTCCTCAGACGTGATGGTTTAGGGACTGACAATTCATTACCTTTTAAAGAAAAATAAAAAATAAAAATAAATCTTTTAATGATCTGTGGCTGAGATTGCCTTCATATAAAACAAAAAAACCAAACGTTACTATTTTACCCGAATCTCTTACGGTAAAATCAATTAAGTTTTTAATCCGCCACTATAAAACCCTCTTTTTCTTCCCAAGAAAGGTTTACGCTTTCTAAAAACACTCAAGACGAACTTTATCTTCTTCATCTCCTTGCACTCTATTTTTCCGCAAGTTCTTCAAACATTTTTCAAAATGGTGAAATCAGGTGTCTCAAAGAAACAATCCAAAGCATCTGGCTCTGTTCACCCCACTGGTTCAGACTCTGACTCAAGAAACCAAATGCCATCGATTGCTTCAAGAAATTTTAGGGTATTGTTTGATGTTCAAGTTCTTGTCAAATCATCCATTGTTTGGTCCATTCAAAGCCTTTACCGACGCAGTACCACTTTCAACCCTCTACAAATGTGCTTTCTCTTCATATCAAACTCTCAACAACCTTCAAGAGGTGCATTTGCATCTAATGAATGATTCTCTAGTGATTATAACCAAGGAAAAGTTTCTCAATGGCATTAATTAGTTAGTTCATCCCTCAACCAAGGTCTTCACTCCAAGCACAGTTGATATCATGTCTGCACCTTACCAAATGGGTTACCAGAAGAAGCTAAATGGCATAGGCAAATTCAAGAAGAGTTAGTTGCCTGCGGTGTGGCAGTTGGTTTGTTACTTCATCATCTGCAGTCTGTCTGGCAGGACCGGAGGCACTGATAACATGGGCCTTAAATTATTAGAGTTGGTATGGAGTATCTTCACTGGCCACGATGTCAACTACGGTCAGATTCTGTGCGATGACTTCGTGCAGTACATACATAAGGAGAGTCCAAAAGAACACCCTGTTGAGCTCACTTTTGCAAGATTTTGGTCTCTATGTATCTCCGCTCTTCATGCTGATGCAGGACTGAGCATGGGCAACAATATCAATCTATTCATCACCAAATATCTTAAAAGGTACAATCCCTCTAAAAATCAATCTCCTTTTGGACCCATTAGATGACTAGCAGTCCACATTCTATCCACACTTGGACTTGAAACTACTGATGTTTTAGATCATATAGAGGCTATAGAAGGGATTGAACCATACCTTCCTACCCCACCTCTCCCTAGTCTAAACATACTTGCCTCAACCGCACCCATCAATCCTGGTAGTACCGTAGCTCCATCTTCCACCACTCTATCCAACTTACCTTTATCCCAAAGAGTCAAGAAGATTGCCTCGGCCAACCATGGCCCCCGCAACATCTCTAAGAAACATGGAACCCCAAAGAAGAAAGATGGTGCCAAGCACAATGAACCATCAAAGAAAAGGAAACTCAAACATATTGTGCCATCATATGACGAATCCAATGAAAATCAATCTTAATCTTCCTCCAATGATTCTGATGATGACACGCAACCCAGTTCTATCCTCAAGAAACAAAAAACCTAATCCACAGACCAAATGTGTGATCGGACTGATACCGTAGCCTCTAAAAAGGATATGGTAGTCCTTAGGGTGGCCGCAGACCCATTCAACACCACAATCGAATTCCACTTAGACATAGAAAGTGTGTCTATTTCACCTAATCGTGGAGACTCACTCCCAGCTCAATCCCAAGAGGATGGAAATGGTTCTCGCCCTAAGGTCTCCAGGGCTTCCCGTCTCCATTTCTTTTCTCCTGAGGAGTTGAACTCTATCCTTTTGTCTGTAACCCATACACTTCAAACAACTTCCCAAATGCAGGGCAATTCTTCCGCCCTTGCCAAAACTGAGCCGAGGCCAGACTTGGCCACGAGTCAAGGAGACTAAGGAAGCTTAGGAAATCCTACTCCGCTTCCATCCTTTCCAGGTGGTTTAGGTACGGTGAGCATAATGGTGCAAGGATCCGTGAACCCGAGGGACACATCGGTGTGATTTCAAGGAATTGACGATGTTGATCTCAATGATTCATGGAGTACTTACAAGCCATCAAATGAAGCTGAAGCAAAGAAATATGACGCTTTCTGTAGGGAATTTCAAGCAAGAAAGGATCGTCAAACCAATCAGCTTCAATGAAAACAGCAAGAAATTCAAACATTGGCTAAGTACAGGGCAGACACAATTAACAACGCCAACACCGTAACCACTATTCTAAAAGTGCAGGAGTGGATGTCCCACGTGGCTGAGATAGTCCGCAACACTCAAACCACTCCCTATAATCAAGGTACTTCAAGAATCCCTCCAAATCCCAATGTTCAAACTTCTCAAGACGATGGCACCACAATCGAAGTCAGCTCCACACCTACATTCGAAATTGATGACTTTGATCTCAATGAGGTAAATCAGCCTACCCCTTCTGATGTTGAATTAATGATATTTGATGAAGAAGAAGCATCAGGTGGTTCTCA